CCATACAAGGCGTGGATTTTTTAAAAAATATTTTTTCAAGCAGCCATACAAGGCGTGGATTTTTTAAAGAATATTTTTTTCAAGCAGCCATACAAGGCGTGGATTTTTTCAAGCAGCCATAAAAGGCGTGGATTTTTTCAAGCAGCCATACAAGGCGTGGATTTTTTCAAGCAGCCATAAAAGGCGTGGATTTTTTCAAGCAGCCATACAAGTTTTTTGGCGTAGCCCTGGATTTTTTATTTAAAGAATATTTTTTCAAGCCTTAACCAAGTCCTGGTTTTTTAAAGAACATTTTTTCAAGACTTAACCAAGGCATGGTCTTTTAAAAAACATTTTTTCAAGACTTAACCAAGGCATGATTTTTTTAGAGAATATTTTTCAAACCTTAACCAAGGCCTGGATATTTTAAGAATATTTTTCAAGGTCAAGTCGTGAATTTTTTTAATATTTCGTGATATTTGCTCCCTCTAGCCCGATTAGATTAGGTCAACAGCACCTCTTTCTTATGCTGACATATTTTCCGAATATTACTATTCATATTCGGTACAGCCCTTCTAATTAATTGTCCAAATTCCCTTCACCGTGGGTGTGTTGTGATGTTCGGCTTATTATTGGCATCGACTCGAAAACAAAAAACACACACAAAAAATTAAGTATTCGGCCCACTTCATCCCATAATTATAATCTGATTATCACCGAAAGTTATATGCGTTGTCCTTGACCCTATCTGGAACCTCATTTAAATTTAAAAGCTCTATATTTCCGCCTTCCTGTGTTGTAATGGGTTAAGAACCTGTAAATATTTATGTGTAACTCCCACATCCGAATACATAGGACAATATAATTGCTATCAATTTAAAGGACAACCAATGCTCTTGGATATACTGTCAACTTCTCGGGTCTATATCCTTCAGGAGTAAATATATACGGCATTGTATACAAATGTTGTCATTTTTCATACAAAAGTCAGGGTCCATTTGACCCGCTAAATATTGAACGATCTTTATCAAAACAGGCATGTTTATTCTTTGGCCCGATCTCCTTCTTCATGTAAAATTCCGCGATGTTCGGACCATAATTGCAACCTCTAGAGCGACCAGAAAAACCAACAAAAAGTATGTATTTGGTCCATTTCACCCTCAAAATATATCCGATCTTTACAATAGGGGTCTTCATTGACCAGAACCCATTCTGCATGCAAAATTTCGTGAAGATAGGTCCATAACTGTGGCCTATATATTATAATGGATAGACGGACGGACGGACTCACATGTCTAGATCGATTCAGCTAGTTGAGATATGACGATCGGTATGCTCTAGGACCAATATTACCCGGCGTTACAAAATCTTGGGGCTGCACAAAGCTATATCAAATTTAATTTCAGTCATATAGGGTATTGCATAAACGACCCAGCCCGGTCCATCTATAATGTTTGATGAGTAAATCTTTTTGCAATGATGATCTTAATTAAGAAGTCAAACAAGAAAATTCTTAACATTGTCTTGTCAATGTGTGATAAGATGACGCCCTGTGCCACTAAAATACATACAAATATAAATAGTTTTTAATTCTTTTATAAATAATATTTTCGCTTGACTTTGACAGCAAAAACAAATACGATTTATTATGTTATCTAGTTTTTTCTTTCTTTTTATTCTTCTTTTTGTTTAATTAATTAAGTACCTGTTGTCTTACAAGTTTTACGCAAATAACCAAAAAAACACACACACATATGCATGTTTGACTCTTCTCAAAATCGGATTTGGTTAAATACCATCTATACAATGCCACACATTCGTATTATTGGACTATTGTTTTTGTTTTTCTAATTATTTTAATAATATTAAAATAATGATTTTTTTGTTTAATTTTTGGTGGCACCATTTTTGTGGTAGTTGGTTTTTGGGTTTTTGATTTGTTGTTGCTTTTGCTAGTTTTTTATTTAATTGTCTTCAGGGCCTCTTTAAGTGGGCTTTCAATTAAGTGAGATAATGATTAATTTGTTGTGGTACCTCACACTCACACACTTTTCGTAAATGAGCTATGCCGAAGATGCGATAATGTGATCAGCTGTGATTTTTTAAATGCATTTTTTGTAAGAGACGACATCAATTTGCTGTAGCACGAGACCAACGATTTTTAAAGGCCATTAACACCGAACTGCTTTACAGCACTTAACCTGGTCAACATTTTAATTGTTGGTTTAACATCAATACCCCAAAAAAATGTCATTTGGTAATGAGTTTGAGTGTGATGTTAGACGAATGGTCAATTTCAGCTATGCTGTTCCAATATTTGTCAATTGAAACGTATTTACAGGCAGTTCCATTAAAAGCCTTAACCTAGGCACGGATTTTTAAAGAATATTCTTTTCAGGCCTTAACAAAGGTGTGTTTTTTTGTAAAGAATATTTTTTCAAGCGCTTAACAAAGCCGAGCCTTAACCAAGGCGTCGATTTTTAAAGAATATTTTTTCAAGGGCTTAACCGAGGCTGGATTCTTTAAAAAATATGTTTTTAAGAGCTTAACCGAGCTGAATTTTTTAAAGAATATTTTTTCAAGCTTCCATAAAAGACGTGGATTTTTTTAAAGCATCCATAAAAGGCGTGGATTTTTTAAAGAATATTTTTTCAGTCAGCCATACAAGGCGTGGATTTTTTAAAGAACATTTTTTTCAGTCTGCCATACAAGGCGTGGATTTTTTTAAAGAACATTTTTTTTCAGTCTGCCATACAAGGCGTGGATTTTTTAAAGAATGCCTTAACCAAGTCGTGGATTTTTTTAAGAAAGGCCTAAACCAAGGCGTGGATTTTTTAAAAAAAACCTAAACAAAGGAGTGGATTTTTTAAAGAAGGCCTTAACCAAGGCGTGGATTTTTTAAAGAAGACCTAAACAAAGGCGTGGATTTTTTAAAGAAGACCTAAACAAAGGCATGGATTTTTTAAAGAAGACCTAAACAAAGGCGTTGATTTTTTAAAGAAAACCTAAACAAAGGCGTGGATTTTTTAAAGAATAGTTTTTCAGTCAGCCATACAACGCCTGGATTTTTTAAAGAATGCTTTTTCCAGCAGCCATACAACGCCTGGATTTTTTAAAGAATGCTTTTTCCAGCAGCCATACAAGGCCTGGATTTTTTAAAGAATGCTTTTTCGAGCAGCCATATAAGGCCTGGATTTTTTTAAAGAATGCTTTTTCCGGCAGCCATACATGGCCTGGATTTTTTAAAGAATGCTTTTTCGAGCAGCCATATAAGGCCTGGATTTTTTAAAGAATGCTTTTTCGAGCAGCCATATAAGGCCTGGATTTTTTAAAGAATGCTTTTTCCGGCCTTAACCACGGCCTGGAGTTTTTAAAGAATATTATTTCAATCCTTAAGCACGGTGTGGAGTTTTTAAAGAATATTATTTCAAGCCTTAACCATAGCCTGGAGTATTTAAAGAATATTTTTTCGAGCGTTAACCAACTCCTGGACTTTTTTAAAGAATATTGTTTTTAAACATTAATCAAGGCCTGAATTTTTAAAGAATATTATGTTAAGCCCTGTTTTTAATATATTCTACAAGCCATAACCAAATAATATTTTTCAAGGGCTTAACCAAGGCATGTTTTTTGGCCTGAAATTTCGAATTAATATTTGTTTACGCCTTAAACAAGGCTTGAATTTTTTAATGAATATTTTTTCAAAGGTTTAACCAAGGCTTGGATTTTTTAAAGTATATATTTCAAGCCTTAACCAAAGCGTGGACTTTTTAAAGAATATTTTTTCAAGCCTTAACCAAGGTGTGGACTTTTTAAAGAATATTTTTTCAAGACTTAACCAAGGCGTGGACTTTTTAAAGAATCCTAAATTTTTCATTAATATTTGTTCAAGCCTTCGACAAAGATTGGATTTTTTTAAAGAATATTTTTTTCATGCCTGAAACAGGGCCTGGATTTTTAAAGAATATTTTTTCAGAGACCTACACAATGAGTGGATTTTTATAGAATATTTTTTCAGGGACCTACACATGGCGTGGTTTTTTAAACAATATTTTTTTCTAGGATCAACACAAGGCGTGTATTTTTATAGAATAAGGCATTGGTTAACGTCTGGACTTTTTAAGCAATATGTTTTCAGGGACCTACACAAGGCATGGATTTTTAAAGAATAAGGCCTTGGTTAAGGCCTGGATTATTTAAAAAATATTTTCCAGGTCTTTGCCAAGGACTGGATTTTTTAAAGAGTTAATTATTTATTTATTAGTTAATTTTTATTCTGCATTGTGTGTTTCGAGCATTTTGTTGTTGTTTTTATGATTAATTTGTGTCGTATGCTAATCAGCTAGCCATCTGTTTATCTCTTCCTATATATCCAAAAAGTATCAGCCCCCAATGAAATGTATTTCCTTAAACATTTTTGTTGCCAGCGATTCTATATTAGCCTTTTGGCCAAATTTGTTTTTGGCTCCTCAACACCATTCTCCCCCCGTTCTTAACTCCATCCAGTTGCTTGTGTACGTAATCTGGCAAAAAAAAAAAAAAAACGCTGCTAGAAAACAAGCTACGTAGATAAACAAAAATAATAATAGAAATAGAAATAGAAATAAGCAAAAAAAATCAACTAAATGAAAACGAAAACGAAGCGTAGAGGAAGATTATCAGTTGTCAGATTAACAATATAATTTTGACAAAGTGTAATTATGAACATCTGAACATGATGATGGATATCTTCTTTTTTGCCTCGGCGTCACAAATTTCGGGTCTGGGAGTTGAAATTAAATACGAAACAAGCAGAAAATAACAAAAATCTCGCTATGAAGAAAGACTTTTAAGTTTTAGATGTCAAACAAAAAAAATTAATAATAATAAAGCAGGTTGTTTTGTTTTTGAGTAATGAAACCCCAGTCAGCACTATTAGCTGCAAAAATTGCTATAAAAATACTGAGAATCTTCGTATTCGATATCATAAAACTTACAACGTTCTTTGTGAATACAACAACCACAACACACACACAAACAACATGAAATTAGCCATCGTTTTCGCTGCTCTCTTCGCCGTTGCTCTGGCTGCACCCGCTCAGGATTATGCCAATGCTGAAGTGTTGCGTTTGGAATCGGATGTCCGCCCAGAAGGCTATAACTTTGCGTAAGTGTGCAAGGAAAATCGACACGAAAGTGTTCATAATTAATTCGAAATTTCGATGTGTTATTTTTTGCAGTTTGGAGACCAGCGATGGCAAAACTCACCAAGAAGAAGGTTCCTTGAAGGATATCGGTACCGAAAATGAAGCCATTGTTGTGCGTGGCTCATACTCCTTCATTGCCGATGATGGTCAAACCTACACCGTCAACTATATTGCCGATGAAAATGGTTTCCAACCCGAAGGTGCTCATTTGCCCAACACCGCCCACTAAATGGATGTGACACGAATTTGAATTGTTTTTTGGACCTCGATCTTTAGTGGTAATTCTAGTGGTAAACAAGAGCTGTTTAAAATCCCTCCCAATAACAAAAAAATATAAAATAAAAAAATTGACAAAAAAAAATAAATATACAAAAGAAAAAATGTTATAGAATTAGTTATTGCAAATAAAGGCATACAATGTTGAAAAATCGAAGTGATCAGTTGAGTGTTCTCAGTGCAAATGTGGTGATTGTCAATATAGATATAGTCTCCGAAAAGATATTCTTTAAAAAATCCACGCCTGATATAGTCTCCGAAAAGATATTCTTTAAAAAATCCACGCCTGATATAGTCTCCGAAAAGATATTCTTTAAAAAATTCACGCCTGATATAGTCTCCGAAAAGATATTCTTTAAAAAATCCACGCCTGATATAGTCTCCGAAAAGATATTCTTTAAAAAATCCACGCCTGATATAGTCTCCGAAAATATATTCTTTAAAAAATCCACGCCTGATATAGTCTCCGAAAAGATATTCTTTAAAAAATCCACGCCTGATATAGTCTCCGAAAATATATTCTTTAAAAAATCCACGCCTGATATAGTCTCCGAAAATATATTCTTTAAAAAATCCACGCCTGATATAGTCTCCGAAAAGATATTCTTTAAAAAATCCACGCCTGATATAGTCTCCGAAAAGATATTCTTTAAAAAATCCACGCCTGATATAGTCTCCGAAAAGATATTCTTTAAAAAATCCACGCCTGATATAGTCTCCGAAAAGATATTCTTTAAAAAATCCACGCCTGATATAGTCTCCGAAAAGATATTCTTTAAAAAATCCACGCCTGATATAGTCTCCGAAATAATATTCTTTAAAAAATCCACGCCTGATATAGTCCCCGAAAAGATTATCTTTAAAAAATCCACGCCTGATATAGTCTCCGAAAAGATTATCTTTAAAAAATCCACGCCTGATATAGTCTCCGAAAAGATTATATTTAAAAAAAATCAACGCCTATATAGTCTCCGAAAAAGATATTCTTTAAAAAATCCACGCCTGATATAGTCTCCGAAAAGATTATCTTTAAAAAATCCACACCTAATATTGTAATAGGTGTGGATTTTTTAATATGACAAAAGAAACAGTTCATTTTTTATATTTTTCAAGACCGAAACAAGCAACAAGTATATTTTTTCAATTTAAAAAAGTGTGATCCTCGCAACAACATTCTTTAACATTCCAGGCCTGATATAGTCTCCGAAAATATATTCTTTAAAAAATCCACGCCTGATATAGTCTCCGAAAAGATATTCTTTAAAAAATCCACGCCTGATATAGTCTCCGAAAAGATATTCTTTAAAAAATCCACGCCTGATATAGTCTCCGAAAAGATATTCTTTAAAAAATCCACGCCTATTGATGTATGGATGGTTGAAAAGATATTCTTTAAAAAATCCACGCCTATTGATGTATGGATGGTTGAAAAGATATTCTTTAAAAAATCCACGCCTATTGATGTATGGATGGTTGAAAAGATATTCTTTAAAAAATCCACGCCTAATATAGTCTCCGAAAAGATATTCTTTAAAAAATCCACGCCTGATATAGTCTCCTAAAAGATATTCTTTAAAAAATCCACGCCTGATATAGTCTCCGAAAAGATATTCTTTAAAAAATCCACGCCTGATATAGTCTCCGAAAAGATATTCTTTAAAAAATCCACGCCTGATATAGTCTCCGAAAAGATATTCTTTAAAAAATCCACGCCTGATATAGTCTCCGAAAAGATATTCTTTAAAAAATCCACGCCTGATATAGTCTCCGAAAAGATATTCTTTAAAAAATCCACGCCTGATATAGTCTCCGAAAAGATATTCTTTAAAAAATCCACGCCTGATATAGTCTCCGAAAAGATATTCTTTAAAAAATCCACGCCTGATATAGTCTCCGAAAAGATATTCTTTAAAAAATCCACGCCTGATATAGTCTCCGAAAAGATATTCTTTAAAAAATCCACGCCTGATATAGTCTCCGAAAAGATATTCTTTAAAAAATCCACGCCTGATATAGTCTCCGAAAAGATATTCTTTAAAAAATCCACGCCTGATATAGTCTCCGAAAAGATATTCTTTAAAAAATCCACGCCTGATATAGTCTCCGAAAAGATATTCTTTAAAAAATCCACGCCTGATATAGTCTCCGAAAAGATATTCTTTAAAAAATCCACGCCTGATATAGTCTCCGAAAAGATATTCTTTAAAAAATGATACAGTCTCCGAAAAGATATTCTTTAAAAAATCCACGCCTGATATAGTCTCCGAAAAGATATTCTTTAAAAAATCCACGCCTGATATAGTCTCCGAAAAGATATTCTTTAAAAAATCCACGCCTGATATAGTCTCCGAAAAGATTATCTTTAAAAAATCCACACCTAATATAGTCTCCGAAAAAATATTATTTAAAAAATCCACGCCTAATATAGTCTCCGAAAAAAAATTCTTTAAAAAATCTACGCCTAATATAGTCTCCGAAAAAAAAAATTCTTTATAAATCCGCGCCTAATATAGTCTCCGAAAAAATTCTTTAAAAAATCCACGCCTGATATAGTCTCCGAAAAGATATTCTTTAAAAAATCCACGCCTGATATAGTCTCCGAAAAGATATTCTTTAAAAAATCCACGCCTGATATAGTCTCCGAAAAGATATTCTTTAAAAAATCCACGCCTGATATAGTCTCCGAAAAGATATTCTTTAAAAAATCCACGCCTGATATAGTCTCCGAAAATATATTCTTTAAAAAATCCACGCCTGATATAGTCTCCGAAAAGATATTCTTTAAAAAATCCACGCCTGATATAGTCTCCGAAAAGATATTCTTTAAAAAATCCACGCCTGATATAGTCTCCGAAAAGATATTCTTTAAAAAATCCACGCCTGATATAGTCTCCGAAAAGATATTCTTTAAAAAATCCACGCCTGATATAGTCTCCGAAAAGATATTCTTTAAAAAATCCACGCCTGATATAGTCTCCGAAAAGATATTCTTTAAAAAATCCACGCCTGATATAGTCTCCGAAAAGATATTCTTTAAAAAATCCACGCCTGATATAGTCTCCGAAAAGATATTCTTTAAAAAATCCACGCCTGATATAGTCTCCGAAAAGATATTCTTTAAAAAATCCACGCCTGATATAGTCTCCGAAAAAATATTCTTTAAAAAATCCACGCCTGATATAGTCTCCGAAAAATATTCTTTAAAAAATCCACGCCTGATATAGTCTCCGAAAAGATATTCTTTAAAAAATCCACGCCTGATATAGTCTCCGAAAAGATATTCTTTAAAAAATCCACGCCTGATATAGTCTCCGAAAAGATATTCTTTAAAAAATCCACGCCTGATATAGTCTCCGAAAAGATATTCTTTAAAAAATCCACGCCTGATATAGTCTCCGAAAAGATTATATTTAAAAAAAATCAACGCCTATATAGTCTCCGAAAAAGATATTCTTTAAAAAATCCACGTCTAATATAGTCTCCGAAAAAATATTCTTTAAAAAATCCACGCCTAATATAGTCTCTTTAAAAAAAAAATTCTTTAAAAAATCCACGCCTAATATAGTCTTTAAAAAAAAAAATTCTTTAAAAAATCCACGCCTAATATAGTCTCCGAAAAATATTCTTTAAAAAATCCACGCCTGATATAGTCTCCGAAAAGATATTCTTTAAAAAATCCACGCCTGATATAGTCTCCGAAAAGATATTCTTTAAAAAATCCACGCCTGATATAGTCTCCGAAAAGATATTCTTTAAAAAATCCACGCCTGATATAGTCTCCGAAAAGATATTCTTTAAAAAATCCACGCCTGATATAGTCTCCGAAAATATATTCTTTAAAAAATCCACGCCTGATATAGTCTCCGAAAAGATATTCTTTAAAAAATCCACGCCTGATATAGTCTCCGAAAAGATATTCTTTAAAAAATCCACGCCTGATATAGTCTCCGAAAAGATATTCTTTAAAAAATCCACGCCTGATATAGTCTCCGAAAAGATATTCTTTAAAAAATCCACGCCTGATATAGTCTCCGAAAAGATATTCTTTAAAAAATCCACGCCTGATATAGTCTCCGAAAAGATATTCTTTAAAAAATCCACGCCTGATATAGTCTCCGAAAAGATATTCTTTAAAAAATCCACGCCTGATATAGTCTCCGAAAAGATATTCTTTAAAAAATCCACGCCTGATATAGTCTCCGAAAAGATATTCTTTAAAAAATCCACGCCTGATACAGTCTCCGAAAATATATTCTTTAAAAAATCCACGCCTGATATAGTCTCCGAAATAATATTCTTTAAAAAATCCACGCCTGATATAGTCTTCGAAAAGATATTCTTTAAGAAATCCACGCCTGATATAGTCTCCGAAAAGATATTCTTTAAGAAATCCACGCCAGATATAGTCTCCGAAAAGATATTCTTTAAGAAATCCACGCCTGATATAGTCCCCGAAAAGATTATCTTTAAAAAATCCACGCCTGATATAGTCTCCGAAAAGATTATCTTTAAAAAATCCACGCCTGATATAGTCTCCGAAAAAGATATTCTTTAAAAAATCCACGCCTGATATAGTCTCCGAAAAGATTATCTTTAAAAAATCCACACCTAATATAGTCTCCGAAAAAATATTATTTAAAAAATCCACGCCTAATATAGTCTCCGAAAAAAATTGTTCTTTAAAAAATCCACGCCAATATAGTCTCCGAAAAAAATATTCTTTAAAAAATCCACGCCTAATATAGTCTGCGAAAAAAAATATTCTTTAAAAAATCCACGCCAATATAGTCTCCGAAAAGATTATCTTGAAAAAATCCACGCCTGATATAGTCTCCGAAAAGATATTCTTTAAAAAATCCACGCCTGATATAGTCTCCGAAAAGATATTCTTTAAAAAATCCACGCCTGATAAGTCTCCGAAAAGATATTCTTTAAAAAATCCACGCCTGATATAGTCTCCGAAAAGATATTCTTTAAAAAATCCACGCCAGATATAGTCTCCGAAAAGATATTCCTTAAAAAAATCCACGCCTGATATAGTCTCCGAAAAAAGCAGGCAATCACTAAATTCTCTCCACTTCTGAAGATAAAAAACTGAACGACACCACCGGAACATCTATTAAAACTAAACTAAATTTGTGTCATAAATGTTCAATGGGAATGAAGATAAAAATATCACTAATTTCCGAATTATGCATATAAATTATGGTAAGCGTGTGCGGTAGGCACGTGAAAATCGCTATCGCGCTTGTAGCTGTCAGGGTTGTTAAAAAAATAATCTTGAAAATAAATAAAAATGCACTTTCAATGTTAATAATTCAATTTCTGTATAATTTTTCTCACTTCGTACGTATTAATTTCATATTGATATTCGAATATGGTTGATTATCACTTTCCGGTTTTGTTTCTATTAAGAAAGTCGTTTGGCAAAACAAGAAATTTTGCAAATTTCATCAAACAAAAAAATGCAAGCTTTAATATCTGCATATCTACCAAAAATGAATGCCATAGTTGCGAATCATAAATTTATATTAAGTACTGAATATTTTAATAAACATACACATATCTATATTACCTGATTTTTTGTCTTTTTATGCTCTAGTTAGACTTATGTATGCAGCCCCCGGGCTAGAACTATATAAAGCCTGACAAATGCATTCAAAAGTATTCAGAAAGTTATCTGCCTTCGAAAGAACAAAATTAGCACCATGAAATTCCTTATCGTCTTCGTCGCTCTCTTCGCCGTTGCCTTGGCTGCTCCTCGTCCCGATGCTGAAATCGTCAAGAATGTCAGCGATGTTGGCCCCGAAGAATTCCAATTCGAATCAGAAACCTCCGATGGAACCAAACATGTTGCCGATGGTAAATTGAAGGATGTTGGCACTGAACACGAAGCCATCGTTGTCCACGGTACCTACAGCTGGGTTGATGAAAAGACCGGCGAAAAATTCACCGTCACCTATGTTGCTGATGAAAACGGTTTCCAACCCCAAGGTGCTCATTTGCCCGTTGCCTAAATTATGAAAAAATATAAATAAATAAAAGTTATCAAACAAAAAAATCCTAAAAAGTGTGTTTTTCTTGTATAAATAACCAACAGTTGAATAAAGATTATTTAAAAGAAACTTCCAATGAGTTATCGTGCATGGATTTGTAGGAATCGCAAAATAAAAAAAGAAATTTTTAACGACCTTTTTAGAGACCATAGGAATCTGAGATTTGTAATTTGTCTAGGATTTGTCTATTTTTCAAGACATTATATTTTTTCAGAGACTCCGTGGTGGTGGACTTTCGAAAGAATATTTGTTTGTAGGCCATAGAGGTGATAGATTTTTTTAAATAAAAATTATTCAGGGGCCATTACAGGCGTCGATTTTTAAGAAATATTTTTTCAGGGGTCATACCAAGCCTGAAATTTTTAAGATTTTTTTTTTCAGGGACCACAACAGTTTTGAATTTTGTAAAGAATATTATTTCAGGGGTCATAGCAGATTTTTTAAAGAATATATTTTTCAGGGGCCATAACAGGCGTGGATTTTTTTTACCCTACACAACTAACTATGTTGTTAGAGTATTATAGCTTTGTGCAGACCCAAGAGTTTGCAACGCCGCGAAATATTGGTCCTAGACCAACCTTTAATTATAAAGATCGTCATATCTCGACAAGCTGAGACGATCTAGACATGTGTGTACGTCAGTCCATTATAAATTATAAACACGGTACAGACAACAGTTATGGAACAATCTTCACGAAATTTTGCATGTAGGATGGGTTCTGGCCAATGAAGACCCCTATTGTTTTTGATAAAGGTCGGTTAATATTTAGGGGATGAAATGGACCAAATACTAAATTTTTGTCGGTTTTTCTGGTCGCTCCAGAGGTCGCAATTATGGCCCAAACATCGCGAATTTTTACATGGAGAAGGGGATTGGGCTAAAGAATTTTGCCTGTTTTGATTATGATCGGTCAATATTTAGCGGGTCAAATGGACCCCGACTTTTGTGTGAAAAATTACAACATTTTTATTCTATGGAGTATATATTTACTCCCGAAGGACATAGACCCGTGAAGTTGATAGTATATCCAAGAGGAGTGGTTGACCTTTAAATTAATACCAATTATATTATCATATGTAATTGGATGTTGGAGTTACACTTACATATTTACAGGTGCTTACGTATTCATATATTATTTAGTAACCCATTACCACCTTAGAAGGCGGAAATATAGCACTAATCGCTTTGAAATCGCCTATATTTTCAGTGATGATCAAATAATAATATTGGGATGAAGTGGACCAAAAACATAGTGTTGGAGTTACACTTACATATTTACAGGTGCTTACGTATTCATATATTATTTAGTAACCCATTACCACCTTAGAAGGCGGAAATATAGCACTAATCGCTTTGAAATCGCCTATATTTTCAGTGATGATCAAATAATAATATTGGGATGAAGTGGACCAAAAACTTAGTTTATTGTGTTTTTTCGACTCGATCTATAGGCCACAATTGAAAGCCAAACATCACAACACAACCCACGGTGAATCCAATCTGGACAAGTATAAAATGGCTGTACTGAATATTAGTAACATTCGGAAAATATTTCATTGTAAGGACCTCTAATCGGGCAAGAGGGTGCAAATATCAGAAATATTTCCCAGGTTCGGAATAACCATCAGCAGAAAGTTAGAGTTCAGTGATAGTGTTGTAGGGTATCGTATAGTCGGCCCCGTCCGTCTATACTGCTCCGCTCACTGGTTTTAAGAATACTTTTTCAGGGGCCATAACAGGCGTGGATTTTTTAAGAATACTTTTTCAGGAGCCATAACAGGTGTGGATTTTGTTAAGAATACATTTTCAGGGGTCATAACAGGTGTGGATTTTTTATAGAATACTTTTCCAGGTTGCCATAACAGGCGTGAATTTTTTTAAGAATACCTTTTCAGGGGCCATACCTTGCGTTGATTTTTTTAAGAATACCTTTTCGGGGGCCATACCTTGCGTTGATTTTTAAAAGAATACTTTTTCAGGAGCCATAACAGGCGTACATTTTTTAAAGAACCCTTTTTCAGGGGCCATGACAGGCGTGGATTTTCTAAAGAATACTTTTTCAGGGGCCATAACAGGTGTGGATTTTTATAAGAATACTTTTTCAGGGGCCATAACAGGCGTGGATTTTTTAAAGAATACTTTTTCAGGGGCCATGACAGGCGTGGATTTTTTAAAGAATACATTTTCAGGGGCCATGACAGGCGTGGATTTTTTAAAGAATACTTTTTCAGGGACCATGACAGGCGTGGATTTTTTAAGAATACCATTTCAGGGGCCATAACAGCCGTGGATTTTTTAAAGAATACTTTTTCAGGGGCAATGACAGGCGTGGATTTTTTAAAGAACACTTTTTCAGGGCCCATGAAATGCGTGGATTTTTTAAAGAATACTTTTTCGGGGGCCATGACAGGCGTGGATTTTTTAAAGAATACTTTTCCAGGTTGCCATAACAGGCGTGGATTTTTTAAAGAAAACTTTTTCAGGGGCCATGACAGGCGTGGATTTTTTAAAGAACACTTTTTCAGGGGGCAGGACAGGCGTGGATTTTTTAAAGAATACTTTTTCAGGGGCCATAACAAGCGCGGATTTTTTAAAGAATACTTTTCCAGGTTGCCATAACAGGCGTGGATTTTTTAAGAATGCATGAATTGTTTTAAATAAAACCTTGTTTTATCAACAATCAGCAAAGCGTGGCGTTGATAAAGAATTTTATTTTCAACTGATGCAGTTAATGAAAACAAATCTATGGATTAGTTGCTATGATATGTTATTTGACAATTTTTTGATTATTTCATATTTCAAGTCAGCATGTTTTTTTCAAATTCAAATTCAAAATAAACTTGTTGCTTTGCCAACTACAATAGGCAATATGCCATTTGTGCAAAATTAGAAGACGAAAAGAAAAAAATTAAATACAGATCAAATATTGGACGTCACAAACCAGTGCACAGACAAAAGCGCCTCAATACCCGTTTGAGTGCAATATTCGAAGATATTTGATATTTTCAAAATCTCGTTCACAGGAGTATAAAATCAAGTGACAATTTCGAAGAAGATATCAAATAAGTTTTAGACTTTCTACAACGAGCCCAAAAAAAAAAACTCAAATCAAAATGAAATTCATCATTGTCTTCGCTGCTCTCTTCGCCGTTGCCTTGGCTGCTCCTCGTCCCGATGTTGAAATTGTCAAGAATGTCAGCGATGTTGGCCCTGAAGACTTCAAATTCGAATCCGAAACTTCTGATGGCTCTAACCACTTTGCCGAAGGTAAACTCAAGGATGCTGGCAGTGAACACGAAGCCATCGTTGTCCACGGTTCCTACAGCTGGGTTGATGAAAAGACCGGCGAAAAATTCACCGTCACCTATGTTGCTGATGAAAACGGTTTCCAACCCCAAGGTGCTCATTTGCCCGTTGCCTAAATAAAGTTTTGGATAAATAACAATAAAAAATATAAATAAATTTGATTAAAAAATGTTGATTTTTGTTGTTGTTTTTTTATAATCTTAATAAAAGATGCAAATCTCTTACGTTAAGACTATATATAGTATTGCAATAGGTCACCATTTTTAGGATGCATAGCCATAATCCTGACAAAGGTTTGGCTACGCCTTCAAGAAATATCTACCATGTTTAGATAACATAGAGCTTAACTATATATATATATGTTTTTATGGAAGAGTTGACCATCTATGGACAGGTACCAGGAATGGCTCAATATGGATACACCTTTCGTTTCATATTAATATTGGATTTATTAAAGAATATTTCTTAGAGGCAATAACAGGCGTGGATTTTTTAAAGAATATTTCTTAGAGGCGTGGACTTTTTAATGAATATTTCTTAGAGGCCATAACAGGTGTGGATTTTTTAAAGAATATTTCTTAGAGGCCATAACGGGCGTGGATGTTTTGAAGATTATTTATTAGAGGCCATAATTTTTTAAAGAATATTTCTTAAAGGCCATAACGGTCGTGGATTTTTTAAAGGAATATTTCTTAGAAGCCATAACGGGCGTGGATTTTTTAAAGAATATTTCTTAGGGTCCTAAATAAGGCGTGGATTTTTTAAAGAATATTTCTTAGATGCCATAACGGGCGTGGATTTTTTAAAGTATATTTCTTAGAGGCCATTAAAGGGGTGGATTTTTTAAAGAGTATTTCTTAGAGGCGTGGATTTTTTAAAGAATATTTCTTAGAGGCCATAACAGATGTGGATTTTTTAAAGAACATTTCATAGAGGCCATAACGGGCGTAGATTTTTTTAAAGAATATTTCTTAGAGGCCATAACAGGGGTGGATTTTTTAAAGAGTATTTCATAGAGGCCATAACGGGCGTAGATTTTTAAAGAATATTTCTTAGAGGCCGTAACGGGCGTGGATTTTTTAAAGAATATTTCTTAGAGGCCATAATGGGCGTGGATTTTTTAAAGAATATTTCTTAGAGGCCATTCCGGCCTGGATTTTTTAAAGAATATTTCTTAGAGGCCATAACAGGCGTGGATTTTTATACCCTACACAACTATATTTTCAGGGTATTATAGCTTTGTGCAGCCCCAAAAGTTTGTAACGCCGCGAAATATTGTCCTAGACCCACCTTTAAGTATACCGATCGTCATATCTCGACTAGATGTGTGTCCGTCCGTCCATTATAATTTTTAAACACGATACACGCCACAGTTATGGCGAAATTTTGCATGTGAGATGGGTTCTGGCCAATTAAGGCCCTTATTGTTTTTGGAAAAGATCGGTTAATTTTTAGGGGATGAAATGGACCAAAAACTGTATTTTCGACGGTTTTTCTGGTCACTCCAGAGGCCGCATTTATGGCCCAAACACCGGGAATTTTTGCATGGAGAAATTTTGCAAAGAGCATGCCTGTTTTGATAAAGATATGTCAATTTTTAGCGGGTCAAATGGACCCTAACTTTTGTGTGAAAAATTACAAAATTTGTATTCTATAGCGTATATATTTACCACTGAAGGACATAGACCCGAGATTTTGATAGTATATCCAAGAGTAAATTGATACCAATTATATTGTCTTAGGTACTCGGATGCGGGAGTTACACTTAAATATTTACAGGTGCTTGGGTATTCATATATTATTTAGTAACCTATTACCACACTGGAGGGCGGAAATATAGCGCTGATCGCTTTGAAATATTCCATGAGGTTCCAGTTATGGTCAAGGACAACGCCTAAAATGTTATATGTTGATCAGATAATAATTTTTCGGATGATGTGGACCGAAAACTTAATTATTTGTACTTTTCGAGTCAAAAGCCGAACATCACAACACAACCCACTGTGAAAAGAATCTGGACAACTAATTACAGTAATTAGAGGGGCTGTACTGATTATTAGTAACATTTGCTGACCTCAAAAGTCAAAAGTGAGCAAATATCGCGAAATATTGCCCAATCTCAGAATATAGAACCACAGAAAGTTAGATTTTCATGGAAGTTGTATAGAGTATCGTATGGTCGGCCTAGTCCGACTATACTGCTTCGCTCACTGGTTTAAGGAATATTTTGTAGAGGCGTGGATTTTTTAAAGAATATTTTGTAGAGGCCGTTATGTAGAAGTCATAAGGGAAGTCGATTTCTAAAGGAATATTTTTCAGGCCAAAAAGGCTTAGATTTTTTAAAAAATTGTTTTTTGGGGCCATTCATTAAATTTTCAGCAACACTATCTAAACCGATTTAGTAATAAAACTTAGCACACTTATTCTTATAAAAAATATGATTTTTTTTAACTTGATATTCTTTGCTTGCCAAATTTAATACTTTTTGCGAAAAATTTGCAACCGTTAGCTTTTTATTATTTGCATAAATTATTATTGAATTGGAAACATAAAACTCGAAACGGACCAAAAACAACATACCAAATATATTTCTGCATTATGACGTTATAAACCGGCTGGGGTAGAGAGAAAATAATAGGCAAAAGCACAATTTATGTGCAACCAGAATGCGGCTGTATCATTTCAAATTTCTAGCTTAATTTTTTTGCAAAATGTCATTCGACCATTGTCTTAGTATAAATATCGGAAGCATTTTGAACCAGATCATCAAATAGGTCTTTGCCTTTGAACAGAAAACCAAATCTAACAAAATGAAATTCATCGTTGTCTTCGCTGCTCTCTTCGCCGTTGCTTTGGCTGCTCCTCGTCCCGATGCTGAAATCGTTAAGAATGTCAGCGATGTTGGCCCTGAAGAATTCCAATTCGAATCGGAAACCTCCGATGGAACCAAACATGTTGCCGATGGTAAATTGAAGGATGTTGGCACTGAACACGAAGCCATCGTTGTTCACGGTACCTACAGCTGGGTTGATGAAAAGACCGGAGAAAAATTCACCGTCACCTATGTTGCTGATGAAAACGGTTTCCAACCCCAAGGTGCTCATTTGCCCGTTGCCTAAATTGGGTAGTTGTTGATTTAATAAAAAAATTAAAATAAATATATTGTGATTATGTGAAAAAAATGAATTTATGTGTTTAATTTTGATTGGTATGAACAGGACACTATGGACGAAGATTGTTTAGCCTAAAGTTGGGAGAAAATAGGGTATATTTGGTCTAGGTTGTGTAATTGGGATACATTTTGAAAATAAGTTAAAAAAAATCTACAAAAAATTTAAAAAAAACAGTGAGCGGATTAGTACAGTCGCACGGGGCCGACCATACAATGCACTTCACAACTACCACAGAACTCTCTGCAGATTTTTATTCCGAGCCTGAGCAATTTTTCGTGATAGTTGCACCCTCTTGCCCGATTAGAAGTCAACAGCACCTCTTTCTTACACTGACATATTTTTCGAATACACCTAAGTCTGTTTTTACACGGTAGATTTTATTTCGCAAAAATTGAATTTGACAAAAAAAATTTAGTACATAAAATTTCAAATCGTGCTAAATGGAATAAAATCGTGTAAAAAAATTAAAAATATTCAATTTTCAAACCGTGTACAAAAAGACCGTGTAAAAACAGACTTAGGTATATTACATATATTCAGTACAGTGCTCCTAATTATTTGTCCATATTCCCTTCACCGTATTGTGTTGTGATGTTTGGCTTATAATTGTGGCCTATAGACCGACTCGAAATAAACAGACACACACAAAATTAAGTTTTCGGTCCACTTCTTCCCGAAATTATTATCTGATCCTCACCGAAAATTACAGGCGTTGTCCTCGACCATAACTGGATCCTCATGGAACATTTCAAAACGTTCAGGGCTATATTTCCGCCCCCCAGTGTGTAAATGGGTTACTAAATAATATCTGAATACATAAGTACCTGCAAATTTTTAAGTGTAAGTCCCACTTCGAGTACATACGACAATATAATTGGTATTAATTTAAAGGCCAACCACTCCTCTTGGATATATTATCAACTTATCGGGTCTACATCCTTCAGGAGAAAATTTATAGAATAAACATTTTGTTATTTTTCACACACAAGTCAGTGTCCATTTGACCCGCTACATACTGTCCGATCTTTATCAAAACAGCCATGGTTATTCTTTGGCGCAATCCCCTTCTCCATGTTAAAAATCGCGATGTTTGGGCCATAATTGTGGCCTCTCGAGCGACCAGAAAAACCAACAAAAATTAGGTATCTAGTCCATTTCAACCCCTAAACGATCTTTAACGATCTTTACAAAATACAATAGGGGTCTTCATTGGGCAGATACATATCATTTTGGAATTATGGATGCTTCATCGACGCAGAAAATTGTCAATGAAGGTCTAGAATCATGGACAATTTTCTGCGTCGATGAAGCATACACAATTCCAAAATGATATGTATGTATCGAAAATGCAAAATTAGAGCTTTGTCGTTGGCTCTAATTTGGCCGCTAAGTCAGAACATATAACTGTATTGATTATTTTCTGTATACATGAATGGCAGCCTCCAAAACCCTGGTAAGGTTTTGGTTGGAAAATACGCCTAATAACGGAAATTAGACGGGACCTTTATATGGAGAATTTTTCAAAACATGCACCTGATTATATCAAAACTTCGAAATCAACATTCAAAACTTCGAAATCACAATTTATAGCCCTTTTGGCTGGAAAATACGGCTAAAAACTTAAAAATATCCAAAATTGGTTCGGACCTTTATATGAGGATCATTAAAAAAGATGTGTAGAGTATATCCATCCCCAAAACCTCCATGTTCCAACCTCTCGGATTGAAAATGCGGCTAAGAGACTGAAAATACTAAAAATTGGGTTAGGCCTTAATACGGAGGCTATTTCCAAACATTGACCTGTTGTGATAATTTTTTTCACACATTATAGCGGTTGGAAACCTTGTGACCTTTATATAATTATTTTTCCAAAACATTGGCCTGTCTTGATATTTTCTGTATATATGTAGCACCCATAAACCTCCAAAAACCAGGTGTGGAAAATTCTAGCTTGTTTGTTTGGAAAAAAGCTAAAAACTTCAAAATACCGTGAGTTAGACAAAAAATTCACTCTTGTATGTAAAAAAATGTTCTCAAAAACTTCGGGTACTTGAAAAATTATTTTTTAAAAAACTTATGCCGCTGTAATTCGATTTCTCTCAGTTCGGATTCGTGATTGATATTAAAATCAAATTAATTCTTATAAACCGTGATAAGCTGTTTTTGGTTATCCATACAACAATCATTACTTGTCTGACAACATTACGAATATAGAGGAATATTATTTTAACAAAAATGCATGCAAATTCTCATAAAAAATAATAAAAGATTATATTTTGCAATAAAAATACTAGTACCGCTATTATGAATTTGCATAAAATTAGATCACATAACAATTTGAATGGAATGCAATCCTGTTGTTATAATTTCAAATTTCTATACATTTGATTTGACTGCATACAAATTCTTGTTTGTTTGTTTCGCTTGAATACGCAAATAATTTTCGGCATAAATAGGCCGAGCGGATGCGATATTCGGCACCAGTTACCAGTGTCAGCTAATTGAAGCATCACACAGCAACCCCAAAAATCAGTCAACATGAAATTCCTTATCGTTTTCGTCGCTCTCTTCGCCATTGCCTTGGCTGCTCCTCGTCCCGATGTTGAAATCGTCAAATCCGAAGTCGATGTAGAGCCCGAGGGTTATGCCTTCAATGTTGCCACCTCCGACGGTACAGCTCACGAAGAAAATGGCAAATTGAAGGATGTTGGTACTGATCACGAAGCCATCGTTGTCCACGGTTCCTACACCTGGGTTGATGAGAAGACTGGTCAAAAATTCACCGTCACCTATGTTGCCGATGAAAATGGTTTCCAACCCCAAGGTGAACATTTGCCTGTTGCCTAAGCACTTGAAACCCCGAAAATATTGAAATAACAAGAAAAACATGAAATAAACTGCATCACAAAAAAAAAAATCAAAATACAAATGTGTTTAAATAACAAGGATAGGAGGGGGAAGAAGGTGGGATTTAAAAAAAATATAGATGGGATATACAAATATTACGTGAAATCGGAGGAAGAAAATTTCATGATACTCCGATCATAATTGTGACCTCTAGAGCGACCAGAAAAGACAAACAAAAAATAAAGTATTTGACCCATTTCATTGACTAAATATCGATCACTCCTAAAAACAATAAGGCTCTTCTTTGACTAGAACCGAATCTAAATGCAAAATTTCATAACGATTTATCGATAACTGTGGCCTGTATTGTGTTTACAAATTATAAGGGGTAGACTGACAGACGGAGACATATGTCTCGATCGACTATGCTAGTCGAGATATGACAATCGATAAACTAAAAGAAAAGGTCCAGGACCAATACTTGGCGCCTTCACAAACTCTTGAGGTCACACAATGCTATAATACCCTTACAACATACACAGAAAAAAATTAATGAATTATTTGATAATTTCATATTGTACATGTACCTCGCTTAGAACCCAATTAAAAATGCTTAACATCCTGAGAAAACCAATATTTTAAAAATTTAACATTTCATTAATATCACATCTGTTTTCCGACTTCACTCTACTACTACTATTTGCGATCATTTATTTCTCGTTCTCCCTTTCTCTCTCTCTCTCTCTCTCTCTCTCTTTTACAAAAACAAATGTATTACTCCCCAGAAAAACACACCACCGAAACAACCGTATCGGAGATTCAATAACGGGCATTCAATAATTACAACAGAGCCTGGTTAATATTTCGCGATATTTGCAACCTCTTGACCGATTACAATTGGTAACTTTAGATTTTGGTTGATTTGACTCTGGGAATATTGACCGATCATCTTCTAAACAGCCGTACTAAATTCTGCATATAATTATGACGCTCTGCATATAATTATTGCCACTAGAGGGACTAGAAAATCTGGCACAAATAAAGTTTTCGGTTCATTGCACCCCATAAATATCATTTCAAGATCACCGAAAATTATATGCGTCGTCCTTAAGACGACAAGTGAAAATTTCAAAAGCTTTTAAAGATATACTCTATATATTGTGTAAGCGAATGGCAGCAGCGAGAGCGTTTCACAAAACTATAATGAGTTCTTCTCAAAACTGTGTATTTACGATTGGCGGGCACGGGCACGATAACAAAAAACCTAGCAATACAATTGGTTCCAAATTTTACAACGTTATTCTGGACCTATATAGCTATCTTATGAATTAGAATAAATTCAATCACTGAAGATTTCTCCTATTTTCCAGCGTAGTTCTTGGTCGAAAACAGGCGAAATTTTTGTTTTTTTTTGCGAAGCCAATATTTCTAGTTCATGTCAGAACCAGATATGTACTCTTTCTAATTACGTTGGAATTTTGAGATTCGGATGATCCACGGATAGCCAATCATCGTCCCAGCCCCAAAAAAATTCTGCATAAATTATGACGCGATTGCATATATTTTTGCCACTAGAGGGACACAAAAATCTGGCACAAATAAAGTTTTAAGGTTTTCACTTTGCACATATCATTGCAAATATATTTCAAGATCACAAAAAATTAAATGCGTCGTCCTAATTTACGAAAAAAAAAAATTTTAATTTTTTAATTTATTATTTGATAAGCGAATGGCAGCAGCGATGCGTTCACTGTAAAATCGGAATCCGAAAATTCCAACGGTGTTAGAAAGAGTACACGTCTGGCTCTCAAAAAACTAGGATTTTTGACTTCGCTCTAAAATTAACAAAATGGTGGACCTTTGAAAAAATATTTTTTTGGAAAATCGCCGATTTTTTACCAAAAACCAAGTTAAAAAATAAGGAAGATCTTCTCCGATTGGCTTTATCCTAGTTCATGCATCAGCTATACACTCCCAGAGAAACGTTGCAAAATTTGGAACCGATTGGATTATTAGTTTTTGAGTTATCGTGCCCGCCATTCGCAAAAAAAATGTTTAGAGAAAAACGCGTTTAAAGTTTGAGAAGCCCTTCAGCCGTCACTTGATGCTGACACAATAAATCGGATATATCTTCAAGAGTTCTTGAGATTTTTTCACTTGAAATTTTGTAGAGACATTCTTTAATCAGTGTAGATTCGAATTATATCAACAAAAATGTTGACCCCGAGAATGGGGGGTCCCCTTAATATACCATAAAACAAACATATTTTAATTTTTTTTTTACATTCTGTTTTAGTATTTCTTCAACAATCAACCCTCATTGTGCGTTAGTTGTAAAATCGGTTAAATAAAAACATTACCACCAATTCGAAATAAAATCAGATAAAAACGCTTCAAATATTTATAATATTTTGTTTTTTATTATTTCCTTAAAAACTAAGAACTATTTTTTAAACAGTCTTTGGTTTAGGCGACGGGCAAATGAGCACCTTGAGGTTGGAAACCATTTCTGTCAGCAACATAGTTGACGGTATAGGTTTGACCATCATCACCGATGTAGGAGTAGGAACCCTTAACGGCGATAGCTTCTTCATCAGTACCCAGATTCTCAACATGTCCTTCTTCTTGGGCCGATTTGCCATCACTGGTCTCCACGGCGTATTGGTATTGTTCGGGTTCTACGTTGGAGTCGTAACGCAAAGTTTCAGCATCTCTGGGATCGGAGGCCAAAGCCAAGGCGAACAAAGCAACAAAGACAATGATGAATTTCATGGTTAGGGATTTTGGTTTTTTGATCTACTTCTTTGTCGATGAGAGCAAAAGCGGTGAGTGAATAGTAGGTCAATGGTCAGATGTGTTTATATACAATTCAAAGTAGCCATCCAATTCAAATCTTTGAGCAGTTAATGTAAATTAAAGCAACGCGACACAACCTACGTCAGAGTGTGGTGGTCAAGTTTAAGTGCGTTATCTATGCAGATTAGGGGTGCAGAGAAGAGACTTCTATTTCAATTTAGTTGTTGTCCGTTACATTAGTTAAATTTATTCATCATTAAATGACAATAAAATTACCATTTTGATTTTATTTTCCAATCCAGTTGTCATAAATCATAAATGTTCGTTATGATTTGGAATACAATGAATGTTCGCTAGATGATGGGAAATTCAATACGCATATTTGGTTATTATAATTTTTGTAGAGTTATCAACCCGTTTCGTTGGGAGTTTATCATAAATATTTCAAAATGTCTCATACGAAATTACTATTATTTTTTAATTTTTACTGGGGTGACATTCAATCAATTCAATCGCTATAATAACAAAATATTTATATATTTTTTAATCTAAGTAAAAAATCAATCAAATCAAAAAAATCAATTTCGTTAAGTTTTGCCGGGCCAAATGTTGTATAACCTCCATCATTCAAAATACATAAAATCTAGCGGGACTTTTATATGTGGACTATGCAGTGGTAAATTGCTGTCTGGAGAAAAATAAATACCAAACTACCCACCAAGGTCCCGAAATCCGTAGAACTTTAACAATTGGAGGTATAATTCGGCTAAAACACGTGCCCAAAATTGCCATAGAATTTTATTCTTATTCTAAAGGTAATATATCAAACAATAAATATATAAATATTTAGGTATAATTCCCACAGTCAAGTATACACATCAAAATGATTTATTTTAAGGGGACCCCCCCATTCTCGGTGTCAAAAAATTTTTTGATTTAATTCGTATCTACTCTAATTCTAGAATGTTCCTACAAAATTTCAAGTGAAAATCTCAAGAACTCTTGAAGATATAGCCGATTTATTAAGCATCAAGTGACGGCTAAAGGGCTTTTCAAATGAGGTCACAACGAATGGCGGGCATTACTCAAAAACTAATAATCCAATCGGTTTCAAATTTTGGCACGTTTCTCTGGGAGTGTGTAGCTCTCGTATGAACTAGGATAAAGCCAAACGGTGAACAACTTCCTTATTTTATAGCATGGTTTTTGGTAAAAAATAGGCGATTTTCCAAAAAAAAAAATGTTCAAGTTCCGCCATTTTGTTAATTATTGTGCGAAGTCAATAAAGCCAGAATGTCCTCTTTCTAACACAGTTGGAATTTTCGGATTCCGATGTTCCAGTGTGGAGTTATCAAACTTTTCTTTGAACCCAAAAAACAACAACAAAACAACAACAACAAATTTTGGTAAATTATTTTTCTTCCTTTTTAAATCTTCAAATATATATGTGCCAAGTTACAAACCTTTACAAGCATACAAATATTAAAAATAAAAAAGGAATAATTCCCACATTAAAAAATCAATCAATCCTCTAGAAAATATTGTAAATTTCTCAGGTCAATGTCCTTCTGGAGTAAATATGTACGCCACAGAATGTAAGTAATTTTCGTACAAAAGTCTTGGTCTATTTGACCCACAAAATATGATATCATCATCAAAACATCAACGATCAAATTTGTTTTCGTGACGATTGGTGCACAACTGCGGTCTTACTTTGTTTAAGGATTGAAGGACGGACACACATGTACACCTGATATTTCTTGAAAACAAAATTTAAAAACCATTGAGCGGAGCAGTATAGTCGGACGGGACCCACTATATGATAGCCTACACAAACTACCACCAAACTCAAATTTTTTACATATCTATATTCTGAGTCTGAACGATACTTCGCGATATTTTCTTAATCAATTAGAGATGCACAGCTCATCTTTCTTACCCTGGAATATTTTCGAATAATGTTAAGCCATACGATTAACATTTGGTTATTTAGTTATTTAGTCTTGGTTCATTTGACCCTAAATAAATGGTTGGCCAGATTTTTCCCCTGTGTAAAATGTATAATGTTCGGCTTACAATAGTGGACTCCAGATCGATTAGAAAACCATACAAAAAAGTTTTTTGTCCATTCCATTCTCATCATCATCGCCGAAATTTGTAGGTATCGTTCTTGACAATTTCCTCATGTAAAATTTCATAGCGATCCGTGCGCCTTCTAGTGTGGTAATGTTAATAATAACCAAATAAAAATACGTAACAACCTTAGTATAAATCCCACAACCGAGTACATACAACAATATACTTGGTGTTAACTTAAAGGTCAACCACTCCTCTTGGACGTGTTATCAACTTCTCGGGCTATGTCCTCCAGGAGTAAATATATACGCCATAAAAAGGAATTTTGTCATTTTTTACACAAAAGTCTGGGTCCATTTGACCCGCTAAATATTGACCGATCTTCATCAAAACCGTCCTGCATAATCCATAGTCAGGCACCTTTCTATGTGTAAAATTTCGTGATGTTCGAGTCATAATTGTGGCATCTAGAGCGACCAGAATAAGAGACAAAAATAAAGTTTTTAATTGATTTGATCACCGGCCGAATCTACATCTACATGAATCTACATGTTTTTGGTCGATTTGATCATCGGCCGAATTTACATGCAAAATGTCCTGGCAATTGGTTCATAACTGTGTCCTGTACTTTGTTTACAAATTATAATGGATAGATAGACGGACACAAATGGCTAGATAGATTTATCTGGTCGAGATATATCAGTATAATAAAAGGTGGGTCTAAGAGCAAGATTTCGTGACATTACAAACGCTTGGGGGCACACCAACATAAAAGATACTCACACCATAGTTATATAGGGTATAAAAATCTACGTCCTCATAATCCCTAAACAATCTATTTTCAGATATTTCTCAAAACATATTTAAAAAATCCATGAATTAATATCCCTTGAAAAAGCAAAGTATAAAAAATTCTACACAGCGATTTTCTTAAAAAAAAATCTATTCTTAAAAAAAATATAAAATCACATATTCCATGAGAAAATATATGAGAAAAAAATTACGAAAAATATGTGCCCTTACGTACTTCAAAAAAATTTTTTTTAAAAATCTTATAAAATATTATATACGCTATATTCCATAAAAAATAATTTTAGTAGTGTTGTTTTTGCAAAATAGTCAGGCTGATCATCCCGAAAATTATGGCGTTTTTAACTTGAAAAAAACAACTATATTTATTAGTGTGGGAATGTAAATGGCATTGTTTGCATCTGTAAATATGTATGTGTAAGTCTCGCATCCGAGTGCATACGACAATATAATTTGTATCAATTTAAAGGTCAGCCACTCCTTTTGAACATACTATCAACTTCTCGGGTCTAGGACCTTCAGGTGCAAATATATACCCCTTACAAATTTTGTTTTTTGTTGGTCCATTTGACCTGCTAAATATTGACCGACCTTTATCAAAACAGGCATGCTTAAGCTGCAAAAATTCGCGGTGTTTTCATAATTGCGGCCTACAAAAAAAACCATTTCTTCCCCAAATGTCTCTTTTCCAAAAACAATAAGGGTTTTCATTGGCCTATCCTACATGGAACCTAACCTACATGCAAAATTTCGTCAAGATTGGTGCCTCACTTCGAGGTTAACAAGGCATTTACGGACACACATTCCATACCTTTCCCACTGTTGTGTGTTGTCAAATTTCGGCGTTACAAATACACACAACAACTTTGTGTGGTATGTCGCTATGTACTTCAAAAAAAAAAAATTATAAAATATTATTTTATTCATAAAAAATAATTTTATCTAAAAATATATACGTTCTGGCATTATTTAAAAAAAAAATCGATGATTCGATTAAACAAAATCGTTATCCCCAATTCGAAATAAAATTAAATAAAAACCTTTTAAATTTTTATAATATATTTTTTTTATTTCCTTAAAAACTAACAGTAACTATTTTTTTAACAGTCTTTGGTTTAGGCAACAGGCAAATGAGCACCTTGAGGTTGGAAACCATTTCTGTCAGCAACATAGTTGACAGTGTAGGTTTGACCATCATCACCGATGTAGGAGTAGGAACCCTGAACGGAGATAGCTTCATCATCGGTACCGGCATATTCCAAATGTCCTTCTTCCTGGGCCGATTTACCATCACTGGTCTCCACAGCGTATTGGTATTGTTCGGGTTCTACGTTGGAATCGTAACGCAAAGTTTCAGCATCTCTGGGATCGGAGGCCAAAGCCAAGGCAAACAAAGCAACGAAGACAATGATGAATTTCATGGTTGTGGATTTTGGTTGTTTGATCTACTTCTTCGTCGATGGGAGCAAAAGCGGTGAGTGAATACTAGGTCGGTGGTCAGATGTGTTTTTATACGATTTAAAGTAGCCAGCCGACTATGCATTGACATGTTAATAATGCATAGCAAAGCAACGCAAACAACCTACGTCAGAGTGTTGTGGTCCAGTTTAGGTGTGTATCCTATACAGATGATTAGAGATTGGAGATGCAAAGATATGCATATTTCACTTTATGTGTTGTTGGTGTTCGGTTACATCGTTTAAATTTATTCAAGATTATAGTTAATAGTGTCATTACTATTCGGTTTGATTTAATTTTACAATCCAGTTCCCGATAAAATAGCAGTTTTCGTTCTGAATTCGGTGGATGCTGGATTCAGTAGGCATATTTGGTTATAATAAAATTTTGCAGAGCAGCCAACCCGATTTGTTGGTAGTTATTTCAGCTGTTAGTTATTGTCAGCTCTTTAGTGGGGAGGAGTTGTCAATATATCGAAATATCGAAAATTGTCCGTAAACTTTATTGTTCAACCTCCAAGAATGTCAATGAATGCAAAAAGGGGCGGCGCCATAATATGGAAGCTATGCCAAAACCGATATCGAAGAAGTTCTATCATAAAAGTTGCAATCCCTATCGTGAGATATTAACATGGCTAAATCAATATT